ACTACACTCTTGTACTCCAGTTGGTCTGCTCCAATCCAAGGGTAAAAACTCTCCCATTCTGCAACATATTTTCAAAAACAGTAAACACAAAAACAAATCACAAATGATGAAATATGAGTTATGAGACTCAATTACCCTTTTGGTGTCTGGAGCTGCGCAGGAGGCAAACTAGGGGGAGAAATATTTTGGATTTTTGCTTGGAACTCACCAGCTTCTTGTCTTTTACGGAGAGAAAAGAAGAAGAAGAAGAGAAAGAAGAAGTGGTTTGTGTGACAAAGAAACAAAAAGAAGCAGAAAGCTAAGAAGTGCTTCTTCATTTTGTATTTTAGTGGTCAGACTGTTATTACTACTTGGTGTAAAAAAAAATAAAAAGTTGCAGGACCGAGGAGTTGTTCCTGGTTAAGCTGTTTGTTTAACTAGTCTCTTTCTATATATGTGTTGGTGACTTGAGTTACTCTAAGCCTTTGTATTTAACCAGCAAAAAACTAAACAAAATGCAAATCAATTAGCAGTTTAGCACATGTTTGGTTGAGTCATAAATATTTATTATTATTATTATTATTTTTTGTTACAGCTAAAAAGAGGTTACAAATTATTAAATAAGCTGTTGTAATAAGTATGCTAAAACAGTTTAAAGTTTTCCTGAAAACTTGTTGTAGGCTTCATTAAAATGTTTAAAGTGTTTAAAATGTTTGATTCGATTCTTTCTTATATTTTTAATAATTTGAATATCAAAAAACTCTTTTACATTTTTTAAATCAAAATAATTAAATATTGTTTTCATAAAAGACTATATTCATAAAGTCTATAGTGAGAGAAAACATACCCAATTGATACCAATGATGACTCATTCAGGTAGATATCATATTGGTTTGAAATAAAAAAAAGGTTGATAACATTTCTTCTCACAACTTTCCCTCACAAACGTCTGTGTGATAGTCATAATTGGTCAAACAAGACTTTTGCGGACTGAACAATTATGAGTTGATATGTCGCGTTTGTAAAAGAAAATTGTTTATGAATATAGTATTATTGGTTGGTTTGAGTCAAACTTTATTAAACGAGATAAAGTTTGACTCACTATGCCGATGCCATGATGTTGACCTTGAATGCAAAAACCAGTAGAGTGAATGATGACAGAGACAGAGGGGCTCCAGCTGATACCCAGAAGAGCTTGTTCTTTTAATACCCTGAAATTCCTGGCAAAAAACTCAATATATGCTGATGTCATTAACTGTTATCAAAATCTTTTAACATTCTCATAAAAATTAAATAAGGTTTTTTATTTATAATACATATCTTTTTGTCCGTAATTGACAAGAAAACTTATTTTTAAAATTATATTACTTACAAAAATTGTGGATGAAGAGTAAAATTTAGGGTGCATATAACCCACTTTGATCAATTAAAGGAAAATTCAAATTTCAGAGAAGACAAACAGTGAAATAGTCAAATATACTATTTTTTTTCATTAAAAAAATTTTTGTTTTAAAACAAAAATTAATTAATTTGTTGTAAATAGCACTTTACATTATAGGACCTCCTGGTTTTGTTTTTCTTCTTTATTAATAGATATTGTCCAAAATATATATATATATATATATATATATATTAAACAAAAGTAAAGTAGAAGCGGGAGGAAATGGAATTGATTCTTGTAGGTTACTGAGGCTTAACTGGAAAGCGAAGTCGTAGAAGCGCTTATGGTTATGGGAAGTGGGATCCTTACTTTCTTTCTTTTGTGCTTTATTGCCATCTTTATACTAAGGACACATGCAAGCTGTTACCTTTACAAGAAATTAGAAAATCAAAAATATAAGTTAGAAAGCATTTATTGCAATAATTAAGATGGTAGTTGAAATATTTGCAGTTAATTCAGAAACCTCTTTGATTGTTAATTTTTGATGATCTTAACATAAATGTTATACTTCATTGAGTCATATATCAGATAAAAACAATAGATATAGTAGTTTTTACATAAATTTTATATAATTTTGTTTGGTTGTATAATTCAGTGATAAGCAAACATTATTGTATCATATATGAAGCTAGAATTCTGAGTGATCTCATCACATTAAATGGAATTCTGAATCAGGATTCTCACTTATTTGATTTATACTTTTATCAAAAAAATTAGGATTATGGTCAACGATTAGTAAAAGATAAATTTTATCATACATTAAAGATAAGAACAAGGATGGACCATCACCTTTATTAGTGATACAGGAATTCTTGCATAATTTCATTATAGTAACCAATTGTTTGTGTTCTAGGTACAAATTAGTCAAAACTTTCGGATTTTCTTACTTCTATTTGAGGATTAATTGACTAAATTGGTAATGGATATAGCACCGACTTCCGACAACGATAATATAAGCACAATTGAAAAATATTAGGGAAATTCATACTTATTGAAATATTATGGATGATCCACATTCCACACTTATTTTTCTATCTCTAAAGTAAAGAATAGTAAAATTCCTTTCACATACTATTTGTACACGGGTATTTTCTTTCGTTTTATCCATGTATTGTTTTTAGTATCGTATATGCTTTTTGAAATTCTGGTTGAATTTATTTAATTTAGTATACTGTATTATAAATGATGTTAGATCATGTTTTTGTGGGAGATTTTTTTTTTTTTTTTTTTTTAGAATAAAACTGTTTGAAAACATGAGAAAAATTAATATTCAAAGATATTATTCCTAGAAAATTCGGCTTTGACTTTTTTGCTTCGTAAGCCTGTAAGGCTGTAACTAACAAGGAAAGAAAAAGTTGCATGGACTCTATTATTTTGTAGAGTGAAAGATGGGCCTTTTGTAATTGGGCTTCTGTACTAGCCCATGATGAAGCTTTGGGCCTAACGAACCCTAACTTGGAGATGAAAACGCTTTTTAATAGAGCTTTAGCCATAACCGATCGTGATCAATAAACCACCGGTTTCGCTTGGTGGGCTGGGAATGCCCGACTTATTAATTTATTCGGTAAATTGTTGGGGGCTGGTGTAATACATTAATTTTTGTTCACAAAACTATTTTAGTAGTTGTTTTAAATATGTTATATATTATTTTATTTTTAATATTATCGATCACAAACTGGTCAAATAAATAAAAGAGAAAACTAACGTATGTATGATATGTTTTTATTAAACAGAAATACTGATAACAAATATGTCTGTCCCACTTTAGATTTTTTTTTTCCAAAATCTTATCATAACGACATTTGTACTTTAATTGACGAGAAAACTAATAAATGCAAGCCTAATAACTTTACAATTGAAAGCTTTCACTTTCATTAGGTTTATGATTTGGTAACAATTATTTTTTTATCTAAGAATTTAATAAATTTCCAAAGTGGTTAATCTCATTGTTACATCCATCGTCCAATAAAATAAAAAATTTTGTACATTGACTTTGGAAAAACCTGTTAGTTATGTTATCCTCTAATCCAATCTTTTTATAGTGTTTTAATAAATAAATAAATTAATTCCATCTCTCCAAATTAATATAAATTCTTCAACATGAGTAGGCTCACCAACTCTCAAATGCCCAACTACACACACCTGAAAACAGAAAATATTTGTTGAACTTTCAATTTCAACCCCCATCCTGATTCTACCTGGAAAATTAAATGTTTAATTCAGCAAATTGAATCTCCGTTTCAAACATCAGCTTCTCGACTCTTTCAGGCCAACAGATTGATAATAACAGTTATATAATTTAAACCTTAATTTTCTTGGTTGTGGATAGACTTCAGGTACATAGACCTTCTAGATATGCATGAATGAGAGAATTTTCAAATTGAGAAAAAAATTAATCAATTATTGATGTATATAATTCCATGGAAGAAATTTCAATTCTAACAACTAGTTTCAACTACGGTACATTTTAGTATTTTCTGTTGGAGTTGTCGACTACTTCAGCATTAATGGGTAAAGGAGACGCACTCGGGGGTCCCGTTGCCTAGTCAGCGGGCGGGGGCAGCGCCCCCGAGCCCGTAGGCGGTTTTGGGCTTTTCTATGTATAATCACTATAAGATTTCTTTTAAGTTATTTATTCCTTTTTTGGGTTGAGCTTAGGAATAGGAATCCTTGTAAAACTAGGTTTAATCTCTTAAACCTAGTATATAAATATACTTTTCTCTTGTTATAAGTGTTAGAGCAATTCATTCATTGTAAACGAGAGAGGTGAGGCATATTGCAATAATATTGACTCACCTGGACGTAGCTTACATTGGGTGAACCGGGGTAAATCGTGCGTATTATTTTTCTTTGTTTACTGTTTGATTTGTTTTACTATTATATTTTGTTCCTGTTGTTGTCTCTATTTCATTCATTTTCGGAGCAAACAAACCATTTCAACTCCTAAGTATTCAAAGAGGTTGGCCTGGTGGTAAAAACACGTGTGCTTCCTTCCTTGACTTCTTGGGTTCAAACATTGGGGTCACTTATCTCAATACATAATTATGTTTTACCTGATTCATTGGATTTGTAAAGTATTCAATAAACACCAGAGATTAGTTAAGATACACGTAAACTGGCATGGACTCCCCGATTACCCAAAAAAAAAAAAAAATTTAACTCATGAAAATTATGAGATATGGACCTAACATCCGTAGTTAAAACTCGTTTAAGCTACAGTTAACAAAGATTTGTAAGATTTTGAACTCTGGCATGTAAAAATTAACTTTGTTTAAGTTCGACTCTTAATAAAATCAAGATGTTCACANTTGTTGGTGAGAAAAATCAGGCAGCCCAACCCATTTCTTGTGTTTGTCTTGTAATTTAGGAAGCTTTATGATAGCGGGCCCAATTATTGTCATGTTATATTTCTCTAAATTCTTGGAATGAAGTAAATATTTGATGTCAATTTCTCCATTAAATAAGGTCAAAAAAATTGTAAAAAAAAAAAAAAAAAAAAAAGTGATAAAATTGTGAAGGCTGGACTCATAAGCAAGGAAAACAAACAACTTTATTAAAAAGTAATGCAAATCTTTATTAATTTAATTTTTCGCTTAACAATTAGAAAAAAATACTCTCTCTCACCATGTTATTCTGATCAACAGCCACAGCAACCACCCCATTAACAGCCTTATCACTTTCCACAACCACCACATTACTAGAAATATTTGTCACAGCATGTGTCACAAACCCTGCAGCCACCCCTCTCATGTAAAATGAATACTGAAAATGACAGATCTTGTTAGGGAACAACAAAATTGAAGAGAAATCAGCCACCCATTTCGTCCCATTTCCGGTGACCGACATTTTCCCAACCGTCGACTTTAACTTCATTCCGTTCACATTGTTCCGGTCGATCACCACTTGGTTAATGCTGCTAAACCCTCCATCCAATTTCACAATTGGAACATTTTTACTAGGGCTGCCATTGAACATATTGTCCACAATATTTAGCCCCGAAATTCTACCCTTAATTGATTTTAAAACAACGTTTGCATCCCCTAAGAAAAGTCCATTTGTTACATGGACTTGCACAGGATCTTCAATCACAATTGCTGTGTAATCGAAGTAACAATTATCAACTCTTGTTAATTGAGCTCCGGATTGCTTAATCAAAACTCCTACACCTCCAAATCCTGTGGCTTTATTATAGCAATGGACCCCGGTGAGAATATTAGCTTGTCCAGTTAATAAAACTCCAATGGCAGCTGAGAAAATTGCAACGTCGGTTATGGCATTATCGTTGCTGGCCAGCACAATGGCGGTGCCGGAATAATCCTTCTCAATTTTGTCGCCGCCGACTGAGGGGTGTTGCCCCAGGAAGCAATTTGAGATGTAGATTTCATGGCCTTTTTGGACTGAGATTCCCTGGGAGGAGAAGTGGAGGAAGAAGCAATTGTTGATGCGGATTCGGACCGAATCTACGATGAAAATTCCTCCTCCCTGGTAACTCGAATCGAAGAGGATGTCATGAAAGGTTATGTCTTCGTAGTAGTTTCCGAATGATTGTGATTTCATGGTGAAAAGATCAGGATTTTGATGGTTTATGGAGCTTTTTTTCACTTGGGAATTTGGTGACCATAGCTCAATGAGATGGCGATCACTTGGAAAAGTTGTTGATGCACGTAGAGTTCCTCCTTTTACCTAGTTAAAAATTAGGAAATATATTGAGCCTATCGAATATTACATAATATTATTTCAACAAAGTACAATTTCGAATAAATTATGTACAGCATCATTTCAGTAACATACAGTCTCGAATAAATTATACACAACATCATTTCAATAAAATACAATCTTGAATAAACTATTTATAACATCATTTTGGTAACATACAAACGGATTTTTTAGCAACAATTTACGCATGAACTTAACATAAAATTATATAAACGAGCATTTTAAAGTTACAAATTGTATACAACATCATTTTAGTAACATGCAGAATGATGTTTTAGTCATATTTATGAATGAATATAATATAAAGTTAGATTAAATAAATAAGCTAGGAAAGACTGATATTTTAGTAATAATTATCCCATATGAACATAACATAAAAATCTAAAGAAATGAACAGTGATTAACTTTAAAGTTCAAAAGATAATTAGCGTGTCTTTACAAGAAAAAAAAGACTACGTACATTGTACCTAGATAAAAGTTTGTACAAAGTATTGAGTGTTTCGAACATACATCATTTCAGTAACATGCAGATAAATTATTTAGTCACATTAATGAATGAATGTAATACATTAAATTAAACAAGTAGTGATATAACTTTAAATGTCAAAAAGATTAGTCAATCCACGTATGGGAAAAAAAGACTACATAGAGTATTAGCTAGTAGGTGAAAGACACATATTGCACTTTATTGATTCTTTATCAAAATTTTATTTTTTTTTCCAATAAAAAAAGACTATATAATGCTTATTATAAATAAAAGAAGCATAAAATAAATTCCTAAATGTTATAAGAAAGTGAACGAATATGATAAAAAGAAGAACTTTAACAATTCATAATAACAATTTTGCATCTAGGTTCTTAGATTAAATTAGTAAAAGAGAACTTTAATAGCTTTTGGAGCATAAAAAAATGGAAAAATGTTTGAGTGAAGTTACGTTCATCTAGATCTTTGGATCAAAATCAAATCATCCTTGCAGAGTTAATCTAATGGCTTAGATGGTACAATTAGATTTTCTCATAAAATAAAATCCAAACTACTCTAAGAAAATTAATAAATACAGTAGAGTTTCTAGATCCGTCGGTGATCTAATATTTTCTGTGGAAAAGAAATAGTAATAGTTCCCTAACGTTTTCGACAATCCTTGTATATAGATATTATAAGAAGGTTCCATAATTTTCAAAGAAGAAAAATATTAAAAAGGTTGTATTCGTGTCTCTCAGGGGGGTCCCGGCACAAATCCCTTTACAAAATAATTTTTTACTAAATTAAAGTGTTATTTTTCGAAGACAAATTCAAAAGGTCGTATTTCTCTTCCTAATAAAAGTTTTAAGTATTGGCAGTCTTGTGACTGGCTTTATTCACCTGGGACCTGGCCCCTCATACTGAAACCCTACATGAACATTGCAGTAACAGCCAGAAAAAAAATATATATTTATGGGTAGCAACGTTTCATATATTCGGTCATTTTGACTGCTTTGAATTCCTGACTTTTAAGAAAAAAAAATCAACTACCAGTACGTAAGTTGGATTTTCTAACACGCAAAACGTCTATTACACTCTTGTGTTGTATGATGTTGTTTGTTCTTGGTCTAACCTGTACAGTTTTTTTTTTAAATAATTTTTAAAAGACTTTTAATGACTTCACAAAGGGATGTAAGATTCTGAACGTTTTATTTACTCATTTGTATTGACAACTCTCTGATTTTAGGAGTGTAATAGATGTTGTAGAATTAGTGAATGTTGATGCTACACTTGTAACATAAATAAAGCCCTAAAAGGAATTAATTAGTTTGGAAAAGAGAATTGGTTTAAAAAGTGCATTCCCATGCATGAAAGGCAGAGCTAAACACACTGCGCAAAATTGAAAACGTGGGCACAAAACCACATACCAAAAGTGCACAAAACACTCTATTTCTCTTTTCAAACACCTTCAATTTCAAAGACCTTGAATAAATAATAAACTAAATCATAATATTTAACTAAATTTCAGGAGTCCAGCAAAAACTTCACTCTTTAATATTAAGTGTTTGACTGTTTGTTATCATTGGTTAATGGAAGTAATTGCATTTTTCCAAGTTCTATAGTTTAAAGTATCGGGATATACCCTCTAATTATAATATAAGATAAGAAAAACTAGACAGTCAAGAGGTAGAATTTAGGCTTTTAAAACTGGGATAATATAAAAAAAAAAAAGGGTATTATGATTTTTAAACAGAAAAACCCTCCTGTATAACCAATTGCAGCGTTTGTTAAATTCAAAAGGGTATTATGATTTTTGTGAAATATTATAATAAACAGTAATCCAGATTTCAAAAATATATACAAACATTTGCACTTGAAAATACCGAGAGAGGGATTAAGTACTAACCACAATGTTGCCTCCACCAGAAGGAGGAAACCTGATGGGCTTGCTGACTTTGTAGTTTCCACCTTGCAAGTCAATAACAAGACCACCCAAGTCATTGACTCCAGGCAGCATTTCCTGGCCTTTCTGCACCTGAAAAGCTTCATCCATAACTTGAAGAAAAGCATCACTACACTCTTGTACTCCAGTTGGGTCTGCTCCATATCCAATAGGGTAAAAAACTCTCCCATTCTGCAACATATTTTCAAAAACAGTAAACACAAAAACAAAAATCTACAAATGATGAAATATGAGTTATGAGACTCAATTACCCTTTTGGTGTCTGAAGCTGCAGGAGGCAAACTAGGGGGAGAAATATTTTGGATTTTTGCTTGGAACTCAGCCAGCTTCTTGTCTTTTACAGAAGAAGAAGAAGAAGAAGAAGAAGAAGAAGAAGAAGTTGTTTGTGTGACAAAGAAACAAAAGAAGAAGCAGAAAGCTAAGAAGTGCTTCTTCATTTTGTATTTTAGTGGTCAGACTGTTATTACTACTTGGTGTAAAAATAAAAAATAAAAAGTTGCAGGAGCCGAGGAGATTGTTCCTGGTCAAGCTGTTTGTTTCACTAGTCTCTTTCTATATATGTGTTGAGTGACTTGAGTTACTCTAAGCCTTTGTATTTATACACAGCAAAAACTAAACAAAATGCAAAATCAATTAGCAGTTTAGCACATGTATTGGTTGAGTCTATAAATTATTATTATTATTTTATTTTATTTTTTTGTTACAGCTAAAAAGAGGTTACAAATTGTTAAATAAGCTGTTGTAATAAGTATGCTAAAACAGTTTAAAGTTTTCCTGAAAACTTGTTGTAGGCTTCATTAAAATGTTTAAAGTGTTTAAAATGTTTGATTCGATTCTTTTTTATATTTTTAATAATTTGAATATCAAAAAACTCTTTTACATTTTTTAAATCAAAATAATTAAATATTCTTTTTATAAAAAACTATATTCATAAAGTCTATAATGAGAGAAAAACTTATCCAATTGGTACTAATGATGACTCATTCCGATATAGATTATATTGGTTTGGAATAAAGATAGATTGACAAATATTTCTCACAATTTTCTTTCACAAACGCCGACATAACAGTTCGCAATTGGTCAGATAAGACCTATTGCGAGCTGACCAATTATAAGCTAACACGTTGCATTTGTAAGAAAAAATTATTTGTGAGTGTAATATTATAACTAGATGGTTTAAGTAGAACTTCATTAAATGAGATAGATAAAATAATACATAATGGTGATAACTCTTCAAATCCCACTTCACGAAGTGGGTAGAAAATTTTAAAATGAATAATCATATAGATTGTTGATATATTGTTGATATCCAATTAATAAGTGAGATTTTGTACAAAAGAACACATAGGAAACGGCATGCAATGAGCAAGAAAAGGAAAAGATGGAGATGAAGAAAGGAGAGGAAAAAAAATAAAATAAAATAAAACAAAAGCAAAGTAGAAGCAGGGAGGAAATGGAATTGATTCTTGTAGGTTACTGAGGCTTAACTGGAAAGCAGAAGTCGGTAGAAAGCGCTTATGGTTATGGGAAGTGGGATCCTTAACTTTCTTTCTTTTGTGCTTTTATTGCCATCTTTATTGCCAAGGACACATGCAAGCTTGTTACACTTTACAAGAAAGATCAGAAAATAAAAAATATAAGTTAGAGAAAGCATTTATTGCAATAATTAAGATGGTAGTTGAAATATTTGCAGTTAATTCAGAAACCTCTTTGATTGTTAATTTTTGATGATCTTAACATAAATGTTATACTTCAATTGAGTCATATAATCAGATAAAAAACAATAGATATAGTAGTTATTTTACATAAATTTTATATAATTTTTGTTTGGTTGTATAATTCAGTGATAAGCAAAACATTATTGTATCATATATGAAGCTAGAATTCTGATGATCTCATCACATATAAAATTGGAATTCTGAATCAGGATTCCCCCTTGATTTGATTTATACTTTTATCAAATAGAAAATTAGGATTATGGTCAACGATTAGTAAAAGAAATAAATTATTATCATACATTAAAGATAAGAACAAGGATGGACCATCACCTTTATTAGTGATACTGAAATTCTTTGCATAATTTTTCATTATAGGAGCCAATAGTTTGTGTTCTAGGTACAAATTGGTCAAAAACTCTTACTTTTATTTGAGGATTAGATTGACTAAATTGGTAATGGATATAGCACCGACTTCCGACAACGATGAATATAAGCACAATTGAAAAATATTATGGAAAATTCATACTTATTGAAAATATTATGGATGATCCACATTCCACACTTATTTTTCTATCTCTAAAGTAAAGAATAGTAAAATTCCTTTCACATACTATTTGTACATGGATATTTTCTTTTGTTTTATCCATGTATTGTTTTTTAGTATCGTATATGCTTTTTGAAATTCTGGTATGAATTTATTTAATTTTAGTATACATGTATTATAAATGAAATGTTAGATCATGTTTTTGTGGGAGATTTTTTTTTTTTTTTTAGAATAAAACTGTTTGAAAACATGAGATAAAATTAAATAATTCAAAGATATTATTTCCTACAAAAATTCGGCTTTGACTTTTTTGCTTCTGTAAGCCTGTAAAGCTGTAACTTAACAAGGAAAGAAAAAGTTGCATGGACTCTATTATTTTGTAGAGTGAAAGATGTGGCCCTTTTGTAATTGGGCTTCTGTACTAGCCCATGATGAAGCTTTGGGCCTAACGAACCCTAACTTGGAGATGAAAACGCTTTTTAATAGAGCTTTAGCCATAACCGATCGTGATCAATAAACCACCGGTTTCGCTTGGTGGGCTGGGAATGCCCGACTTATTAATTTATTCGGTAAATTGTTGGGGGCTGGTGTAATACATTAATTTTTGTTCACAAAACTATTTTAGTAGTTGTTTTAAATATGTTATATATTATTTTATTTTTAATATTATCGATCACAAACTGGTCAAATAAATAAAAGAGAAAACTAACGTATGTATGATATGTTTTTATTAAACAGAAATACTGATAACAAATATGTCTGTCCCACTTTAGATTTTTTTTTTCCAAAATCTTATCATAACGACATTTGTACTTTAATTGACGAGAAAACTAATAAATGCAAGCCTAATAACTTTACAATTGAAAGCTTTCACTTTCATTAGGTTTATGATTTGGTAACAATTATTTTTTTATCTAAGAATTTAATAAATTTCCAAAGTGGTTAATCTCATTGTTACATCCATCGTCCAATAAAATAAAAAATTTTGTACATTGACTTTGGAAAAACCTGTTAGTTATGTTATCCTCTAATCCAATCTTTTTATAGTGTTTTAATAAATAAATAAATTAATTCCATCTCTCCAAATTAATATAAATTCTTCAACATGAGTAGGCTCACCAACTCTCAAATGCCCAGCTACACACACCTGAAAATAGAAAATATTTGTTGAACTTTCAATTTCAACCCCCATCCTGATTCTACCTGGAAAATTAAATGTTTAATTCAGCAAATTGAATCTCCGTTTCAAACATCAGCTTCTCGACTCTTTTAGGCCAACAGATTGATAATAACAGTTACATAATTTAAACCTTAATTTTCTTGGTTGTGCATAGACTTCAGGTACATAGACCTTCTAGATATGCTTGAATGAGAGAATTTTCAAATTAAGAAAAAAATTAATCAATTATTGATGTATATAATTCCATGGAAGAAATTTCAATTCTAACAACTAGTTTCAACTATGGTACATTTTTGTATTTTCAGAGCAAACAAACCATTTCAACTCCTGAGTATTCAAGGAGGTTAGTCTGGTGGTCAAGAAAGTATGTTTCTTTCCTTGACTTCCTAGGTTCAAATATTATGACCACTTACCTCAATGTATAATTATGTTTTACCCGGTTCATTGGATTTATAGGGTATTCAGTGGACATCAGAGATTAGTTGAGGTGTGCATAAGCTGGCTTAGACACTCCCATTATCCCAAAAAAAAAAAAAAAAAAAAAAAAATCAACTCGTGAAAATGCTGAGATATGGACCTAACATCCGGAGTTAAAACTCGTTTAAGCTAGAGTTAACAAAGATTTGTAGCATTTTGTCTTATTTTATCGTTATAAGACAAAATTTTATGAATCTGGCATGTAAAAATTAACTTGGTTTAAGTTCGACTCTTAATAAAATCAAGATGTTCACAAGAGAGATGAGTTGTTCGAGCTTAATCAGGATGAAATTAAGACTTAAATACTAGGTTAAACCAATTAAAATAAAAGATATAATTTCTTGGATTATGCATTTGATTCCTTATCTTTGACCCCATTAGTCATTTTTGTGTACAAGAATTTCAAACATTTGGAGCATTGAATTGAATTTCCAATAAGCACTGTGGCATCTATAGAATCTAAATGTAACAAAAATAATCTTGTGTTTGATCTATTTTACTTCTCAGACATTACAAAATAATCTAAATCTGAGCTTAACTAAAATAAAAGCTGAATTTTATTATCCTGAACATATATGATCCATGAGTAGATGTATATAATTACTGAACTCTATTCACAGTTATCAGGGAAGGTCTCCATGACCAAAACATTGAGCTGATTAAGCTTCAATTTGTTCCTCCTTGATTCACTGTAACGAAAACGCTGCCAGCACTCGCCTTATCAGACTCGATCACAACACGATTTGCAGACACATTCCGGAGAGCATGGTTAGGGAAGGAGCTGTCACTTGTGATTAAAGAATATTGAACATGACTGATAAGATTAGGAAATAATAAAAGTGAACTAAAATCAACTGTCCATGAGCTTCCATTGCTCTGCATCGACCCTCTACCAACAGTTGCTCTCAAATTCATCCCCCTGACATTGTTCCTATTCACCACAACTTGATCAATTTGCTTAAAAGGTCCCTTGGATTCATCCAATTGAACGATTTCAACTCCTTTATCGCTCCCGGAAAACATGTTATCGACAATATTGACCCCATTAGCAACGCCATTGATTGATTTTAGTAGAATAAATGCATCCCCTAGAAAGAAACTGCTGGAAATATGAAGCTGCACAGGGTCCTCAGCAACAATGCTAGTGTAATCCATGTAGGAATTAACTATCCTGGTCTGTGTCAATCCTGGAAGCTTCAAATAAATGCCAGTGCCACCAAAACCTGTGGCCTTATTGTAGCAATGTACCCCGGAAAATGTATTCGCTGGACCTGAAACCATAATGCCTACAGCAGCCGAGAAAATTACAACATCGGTGACAGCATTGTCGTTCCCCATCAGGTTAATTGCTGTGCCTGAGAAGTTCCGTTCGCCTGGATCGCCACCGGCCGTGATGTGCTGGCCGAGTAACGAGTTTCGGATGTAAGTTTCATGGCCACTTTGGACAAGAATGCCATTGGTGGAGAAATGGACAATGTAGCAATTGTCAATGCTAGTCCTGAGAGAATTTATGACTTGAATGGCTCCACCCCTGAAGTTGGAATCTAGCATAAGGTCTTTGAGGGTTATGTATTCATAATTGTAGGAGGATCCTGAAGCAAGCTGCTGAGAATTATTAATTGAGGTTTTATTTTTTTCTTGTTTATTGGCTGAAGATGATGAAGTTGCTGCTGATAAATCAATTAGATATCCATCTGTTGGAAAATTATCTGAGGCTGTTAATGTTCCTCCATGAATCTGTGCCATTACAAACAAAAAATTGTATGAAATTGGATCAAGATTCTCTCTTGATATGATTTTTATCTGAAATTTAAAAAAAAATTTGCCTCTAAGAATGAACTCGGACATGGTTTTGATTCTTTTTTGGTAAAGGGTGACTTTATTTGTTCAATATGTGACACAAGTCTTGAAGAGAGAAAAACTTTCTGCAAAAAAGCTGCCATTTCATTCAAAGCAACAAGGCTTTTATTTAAAAAGCTTAAGGGGAATAAAATTGGAATCATTTCATTCACATGAAACACTGTTTTATCTATAAAAACTTATATAAAAGTTTGGCCAATATATCCAACTTTTTCTAATTGGGATTAGGTGGTGCTGACTCCAAAATTCAAAAGAATCACATCTAATTTAATGCATAAGCAACCATTCGGCAAGTTTAAATAAAACTTACTTATACAATGACATAAACTTCGCGTATTGTATCGAATCAGTAATGTTATTGACTCTTAAAAACTACCGAATTGATATGGAAAATAAATTTATTAGCTACGGCCCTAGAAATAATATATTATTGACTTCTCTTCTTTGTGTCAATTTAAAGCTTTTCTAGCCACATGGGTATTATTTATTAGAGCGACATCTGTCCCTATTAATCTTCTTTTATATTGTTTCCTTTATCAACTACTTAATTTACTATCAAATTTATAGTAAGGCATGGCTTAGATGAAATATGTACAAAATTGAAAGTTCCAATGCTAGAGAGCCTACCATAAGATTCCCTGCACCGGCGGCCGGTAGCTGTAGAGGTTTACTGATCAAATAATTTCCACCCTCGAGGTGAATCTGTGCACCTCCAAGATTAGTAATTCCCTCTATTAAATTCCCCAGTCTGGGCCCATTGTATGCGTCTGATATTGCCTTCAGAATTGCGTCCGTGCTGTCTGATTTCCCAGAAGGATCTGCACCGTATGATGTCACATAATACACTTTTGGACCTGATTTTCCCTGATCATCATGCACCGTCATTACCATCACTATTGTAAAAACTAAACTAGTTAAAAACGGGTAACATTACCGACCGGTACTTTAGTAACTTAATTACTTTAACAGTATTTCTTAATCTAATAAAATTTCCTTGTTCTGAGTTTCATACCTGAGGCGGAGGAACGCTAGGAGCAGGAGAAGGAGAGATGTCGGAAGCCAAATCCCGGCGAATGAGCGAGTCTTTAAACTCCTGCATTCGGCGCATTCCTCCATTAAACCGGGCGCCGTGGATAGGAATAGCTTCAGTATCCTCAGCAGAAACCTGAACTCTAATATTCAAGCAGGCCAACGCCATTACTATGGAAAGAAACAACACAGCTTTTCTCGCCATATTTTCCTTCTTCCAGGGCCTGAGTTTTCGACTTCCAGGACCTACTTCAAGAGATGTGGAGCATTGGAGATGAATTTATATAATCTGGCAGAGAGAAGAGGGCACGGAAAGAGAAGGGGTGAACTAAGATTTCGTGTTAAAATTATAGATAAAGAGTTTTGTTGGGATATATAAATGCTCATACTCTTGACACTTAGAATAATTTGGGTGTTTTTATAGATGACATGACATGACATGAGAATTGGTTTGGTTGCCTATCAAGCAAGCTTTTCTTCGGTTGAAATTTTATTTCTTAATTTCCTAACAGGAAAGGTAAGCAGATACCAACTTCTAACTTTTATGGGAAACCTTACAACTTTGACATTGTGTGAAGGGTTTAATTAGCTAAGGTATCAACTACTTTCATGATTTCAGGAATAAAAAACCTTATCGACTCGATATTATGTTAGGAGAAACGTTATAATTGAAGCAAAAGATTGATAATGTTATCAATTCAGTAAAACAATAAGAATTTATGTAAAGATATTTAATTTTACAAAGAAAATAAAAGTACATAAATATTAGGAAAAACGAGGATATATACATTGATCTAAATGTAAGAGATTTCCAAAATTGGAAATATTATTGAACCATTGCTCTATTAGAATGATCCAACAATTTTCCCGAATTCATGAATCGACAATGGTCGGAAATAAACGATGGAATTTTTCAAGATGTAGATAGAGAAAAGGTATTGTCTTTGTGGGACAAATAATAATAATAATAATAATAATAATACTTCTTTATGGGCAGCTATTTCCTTGGATTTTAAGGAAATTTCATTCTTCTTTGTTCTTCAAAGTTGGGAAGCTTCAATAGTCTAATTAAAAGGGTTGTCTTCATTGAGTAATAATACATCGATAACACTTTCTCACAAATTTTCTCTTACAACCCTAATGTGAGAGTTCATAATTGGTTAGTGAGATCCATTGTGAACTGATCAATTACAACCTGCCACGTCAGGATTATATAGTAAAATTTGTGAGAGAGGGTTATCGATGTAGTATTATTCTTCTTGATTTTTAGACTAAAGTTTTGTATAGGTTTTTGAATTTTTTTTACCAAGGGATCATGGCTTTTGGGTTGTACAATTTATTGGGTACTTATCCAACGTAACGATTTTCCTGATTTCAATAATTAGTAATGTTATTAATTTTAATATTAGAGTAATATAACAAACCCTCTAACCATTGAAATTAGCTATATTCAAAAGTTTGGTATCCGAATTATACAAGAAGCATCTACTGCATTTGTGCTTTAATATATATAGGAGAAACCTTTATACGTGGAATTTCAGAAGTTTTTAATGAGAATATTAAAACCTTTGAACCGTTCACCTATTTGAAAACTTCAATGTCCGATACGTTACATCACAAGCTTCACGTACGTACACTTTATTGAAGTTTTCATTGATGGGATCAATCAATTGGATGGTGCCAAATTTATTGTTTGGTGGAGAATTGATGGATTTGTTTGTCTTGATGGGAATATCTTGTAAGTGAAGAATTCTTGATGGGAAGATCAAGAATTGAATCTCCTAATCGGATCACTAATATTGTTTAATTAAATTAAGTAATTTCATTAATATTACTTAGTCTTCCATGCCATTAATTTACCAGTGTTCTATAATTGTGTTAGCTTAACTATAGATAAAACCTATGTAAATTAAGAAAACTACATTATAGAGGAACCAAACTCATTAATTATCATTGACTTCAAATAAAAGTTGGATTATTAGTATTACTTCTCATGGTTAACTTAGATTAACTCCAAAGTATATATGTATTCTAATTATTATTATTATTATTATTATTATTATTTAACAACTGAGGCGTTTGGATTAGTTTACGCGTATCCCGACCGATCCTCAAAGAGAGTTATCCCATAATAACCCATAGCCACGACCTCCTAGGTAAATCATAATCAAAAATATTATCTTTATATCTAACAGGGGAATCATTTGCAGCCTCCTTAGTTTGCTCTTATTGCTGGGTTGATTAATATTCTAATTTTTTTTTTTTATGTGAATAATACTATAACATATCTATTGATAACATTATTGATCTTTGATTATTATTGGATTGGCACGAATACACTCTTTTGAGTCGATAAAAAAAAAAAAGAAAACTGAATTTAACCAACCCCATAACCTAGTTAAATGAATCAATACGTCAAAAATAATTGATAATTTTGTATAGTCGGAAAATATAATTTCATTGATATTATTATTATTTGGTTTAACTTTGATTTCAAGTGTTTGGATTGAGAGAAAATACCATAAAAAACAATAGACAATTTACTTTCGGCAATAATTTACTTTTAAATTGCAATCTTCAAATCAAATCTGATTGCAAAACCAGAAAATTAACCATTGCCCGATTGACAAATATTAATCAGGACAGTTTATTAATTTCCACTTTGTTAGATGAAGGACAGACAAAAATTCACGAGATGGGATTAGCAGAATCCACATTTGGATGGAGCCAAGCTGCTTCCAAACACAATGTTTCCTTTGTCACCACCGTTCAGTCAAATTAATGCTTTTCTATTCAATTTGGGGTCCATATTTTGAGACTTGCCACAATATTATCGTGTAATTTAGGTTATTGTAGATCTCCTAACTCTAAAAATATAATCCTATTTTTTTTTTTTTTTTGTTAAATAAAGATTACTGACTGTAAATAACTATTTTTCACATATAAGAATATATAGCCACTAGTCTTTAGTCTATGTATATTAAAAATTATCGATCGTAAACCTAAAATTTGGAGTTGAATTAACACATTAAACCAATTAAACTTTATATGTTTATAACTAATTATCACATTAAACCTGAATTTTGTTGAAAACCCTATTCATAATGATATTATACTGTGTAATATTATTCGATTAAATACTTTGGATGTAATTATGCTAATTTTTTTTTTTCTCATGTGGGTTTATTTATTAATATAAATAAAAAAAATATAAAATAAGATAACTATATCATGTGGTTGAAGTAAGAATAATTGATTGGAGAAACAAAAGTGAGAAAGCAAGGAATGTTTTTGTGTCTTCAATGATGTTGTTGGTTAAATTCAATAATGAATTGTATGGTTTTTTACTTGGGTTTGAAGAAATATATTTAAAGGGCAAAAGGATATCTTCTTTGCTTGTAGTTTACAACAACCCTATTCACGTAAAGAAGTTTGCATTATATAAGGATTGAATTCATGTATGAAATCATCAATTTAATAAAGATAATATCTGATTTTAAGGAAGAGTAAGATGATAATATAGATTGGATAAGCCAATATTGGGCTCATATGAGTTAGAACTTAGAAGAGCCTAATTGTGCCTATTACGGCTCACTTGGATGACCCTAATTTAGTTCTTGTGGCTCACTTTGGGTTGAATACGCCTGATTTGGGCATGCGTGAAGCAATATTGGGGGTCATTGGGCTGATGTGAGGTCAATTGGACTCGTTGCTGGGAAGAGCCCTTTGTCACCTTTGGGGTTTACTGGCTTAGATGATGAACGTATAAATATCAAGTCGATACATGTCGATATCATATAAGATAATAAATCAAGAGTAATATTATATCCAAAACCTCTTCTCATAAACTTTTTCTTACAATTTCGACATGACAACTCATAATTAATTAGTTATAATTTATCAAATGAGACCCAGACGAAACCTATTACTAGCAGAAAGAAAATTTATGAGAAGAGATTATAGGTGTAATATTTTCCATAAATCAATTACGTACTTGATAGGTTACTCTACATGTTCCAATCAAATAAGCATGACTCAACTTCTCTAACCATGAACTTTGTGAGAACCATGTACATTTGTTTCTATGACATCCTTACAACTTATAAATTTAATTCTCATAAGAATTCCAAAAGGGCAAAATTTCATAACCAAATTTAGGTTTCAAGTTTTTGATCAAAAACCAACAAACATTTTTTATATTTTCCCATTTTTTTTAAAGCACGAAATACAGGTTAACGGCTGATTGTTAGCTTAACAAAATGCAAAATTAATCTAATATTTATGTGCACACACAAGATGATTAAAAAAAATATCATTTTATAGTGAAGAGAGGTCCAGCATTCAAGGGGAGAAGGCTCCAGTAAGAACCTTGACTGTCAATACAACAGCTATGCCACTTGATCCTATAAGAACCCACTGGAAATTGTGAAACATCAAGCAAGCAATTTGAGAACCCTTGTCCTCTGTCATTTGGTTCAAAATGCACAAATGTATTCACAGCCCTACCATCATTATCAATATCGGTATCCCTAGCACGCTTACGGTGATTGGTCTTTTTGGCGCACTGATTCACGTACTGGAAAAGCTTTTCATTCATTTCTACCATGTCGTCGGTTTCCCAAGCTTGAGAAGTCTGAGGTGTTTGTTCACTGTTTTGTCTGTCTGAAAGGGGATTCTGACTACAGCATAGGATGCAGTAAAACTTAGTCAGCCGAACTGGGAGATCTGGTGAAGCATTTTTCAATTGAAGACACAGATTTAGAGATAGGTGGAAGCCCGTAGAGATGAATATTCCACCGAGGTTACTTGTGCCAGCACAGGAGACCAAGAGCTCTGAACCGAAGCATGGCCTGAATTTTAATGAAAGATTTAGTCATTAGAATGTTGTTTAAAGGGGAAAAAACAAGATCATAATGCAAGCAATCTATAATCCATGATGAATATTCAGTCTAAACATTTCCAACTTCTTTCAAAAAAAATTTGAAAAAATAACAATTTAACTTTACTAAAATAATTTTGTATCTAATAGTAGATTTACGAAGTGGTTGACCATATTTGGAAGAAATCTGTTCAACTAATTCTGTACCATGAAAGAGACTTGTAAAGCAAATTGTAAGATTGGCATACCTTATTTTGAAGAAGTACTTGGGAGCTCGGAAAGGGATGCACATCCATTTCAAAATAATGCTTGACAGAAGTTGGAAGCCATTCTTGGTGACTTTGGATAGATTCTCCTCATTATGAACTTTGTTTGCCTCATTTTGCAGCCAAACAATGCCAGAAACAGCATAACTACAGACGTCAACAATATCTTTAACTTCACAACTAATGGTCAGTCTCTGATTTCCTAACTGCAAGTGAAAACAATTCTTGGACCAATCACTGACCTCTAAAAGCATGCAGAGTTTTGTACTCGTCTCATGGTCAAGATTCCACAACCTCCCAAGTAAGTTTTGTATTAGCATTACATGTGAACAGTTCTGCGAGCCTTCGAGAAGATCTGTAGTCATTAGAGTTCCATAGTTAGGAAGCAAATGAGTGTAGAGAGCAAATCCAGTGCTAAAGGCCAACACCGAACAACTTAGAGCAAGTGCTTTAAGGATTTTTGAACTTCTGCTGTCCATTCCAGTGAAAGATGAGGCAATTAGATCATACTCTTGTGATAGCCTCTTCAACTTAAAAGATATTTGAGTAATTTGCCGCAATAATTTGCGTCTCTCAACCATCAAACTTTTCCCAACTTGTGAATCAGTAGTAATATTGTCCTGCTCTGATGGAAGAGAGCTTAAAACGCCAAATATGTCCACAAGCACTCCAAGAAACTTAGCTCTTAGAGCCAAAAACCATCCCTGAAAACAAAAGGTTTTACCAGATGTCAAAATGGTTTCTAATGTTCTTCCTGCAGAGCCACAACTCTTGTAAGCAATGTCAAGTGCTTGACTGAAAATAATCTCATGGATATGACCAGCATTACCTTCTCCATTTTTAGATAAATCATCTTTGGAGAGCATGTTCTCTAACCAATCAAAAGAGATGGAACCTTGTTTCGCAAAGACAAGCTGCTGAATTATAATCTCACAATGAGCCCATTGAGATAAAGACTTTAACCAGAAACCATAGGTATCAGATTGAACTTTCGTTATTAGTTGCCCAAAGATAAAGTTAGCTGTGGTCCACACTCCTTGACATGCAGCATATATTCCGCTTTTATAAGCAGGCCAGTTATCCCCCTGTGTCAACATCCTTTTTGCAAACTCAAGGGTAAAGAGTTCATGCTCAACAAAGCTATTTTGAACAAAGATATGCGAGTTTCCTTCAACTCCACCAGCTTCCTCATTCCTGTTAACCATGCAACCCCAGATGATTTGAGAATGCAACAAGATAGAGTAGATTGTATGTGTATAGCAATTAAGTAAGTTGCAATGATGTACACACTCAACCAGAAGCTTTACTTTATCAAAGACCTGGTTGTTTATGGCACCAGCTTCATGTAAACTCTCAAGGCAGGACACTACAAATCTGTTTACAATACACACAAGCTTTGAAGTGATGGCCTTATGACTTTCCCTATTAAACTCCAAATTGTCATTAACTGCTGAATCTGCTTGCCTCCCAGCTATAACATTGTTCTTACTATTAACAAGATCCTCAACAAATGAATGAACTTTATCCAGCACGAAGACACCGAGATCTGGATGTTTTCCAACTATATGATAAAGAAGCTTGAGAAGATTTTGGATGTCTTGAAATACTGTAGACTTAAATTGGCACAGATCTGACAAAGTCTTCACCAGCAAGGTGAAGCGGTCCATAATTAATGAGACAACCTGAGAAGGTAGAGGTAAGGTATCCATTTCTGTTATTCTCTGAAGCCTAATTAATACATCTACCAGGATATGGATGGCATGAAGGCTCTTCGACAAGTTTGGAGATTGGGATGCATTATCAACAATTCTTAATAGCTCAGCAAATTCAGGCATGTTAACACATGCCAGATTGGATGATGTACACAAAAAGATCTGCAAATTCCCATAGATGAATTAGTAGGCCGTAAATCCAACAATACAAAAACAAGTTAATGACACGAGTTCAGTGCTGACCTTATGCAGAATTTGTAGAGCTTCACATTGCATGGTTGATGGAAGTTCAAGATTATCTGTTATGCTAATTAATGTTTTAATCACACTTGCACCAACTATAGACTGACACATTCCCTTTGAAAAAATAAAATGCAGACATCTTAAGGAAGTTGCTTGTGTACGCAGAGTTTTTTCACTATTAAAAAGTGATAAAAGAAAGTCCACCTGCATCCACATAGCAAGGTTAACCAAAAGTTCTCAATTTGTACTTTTAAAAGAAAATGATTAGAGCATAATTTTGGCCACATCTTTTGGCCGAACAAGAGTCTTGATCCTTTATTTTAAGCACACCAGCCTTTAAAACCTCCAATTTTTCAACTTGTCAGAATAACAAAGTTAAAACTGTGTGTTATCAAAGCAGAGATTAAGAAAAAGTATGGAGGCAGAGAGAGAAACAGGAATTACAAATTCTAATCTGTCTAACCATAATGCACCTAGTCTACAGCTGTTTGCTACAATAAAAGAATGATGTACACAATCTAGTACAAATAAAAGAAGCCTTTTGACTATGTCGAGTAAGCAGATAAGCAGAATCCAACAATAGCCCCCTGACTAAACACACAGAGAATCAACATAGATGAATGAATAGATACCTGTTCAGAAATAAGAACAGTAGACTTGTAACATAGTTTTGAGAGTGAAGCCAACATTGCAACTAAAATGTCCTCTTCGCGACAGCCGACCACCAGCTTTAAACCTGCCTGCGTGAAGCTGATGATTAGTTTATATTAGACATAGAAATTAGCAATCATCACTAATCACAGAATTAATTAAATTATAAATAATTCTATTACTGCAGATAAAACTTTGTTGCAAATATTATTGGACTATGATGAGGTTCCACATGTCCTACAATTTGTCCACCATGTGACTCGTTTATTAGACCAACAGCTAGAATAAAACCCCATTATTGGTTCGCAGTTACTAGCAATGCTTTCTTGGATATTAATCCATGAACTCAATATGCTCTAAAGAAGCATCCCTTTGCACGAAAACTTATTTCTATTATGTGTTAATATGAAAGAGATCAAATTGTCAATTATCAGTTTAAAGAACAAAAATCCAAATAATTGTAGCATTTTTGCTACACTAACACTACTTGCTCTACTGTTCTTCCCAAGCCTGGGCAAGGCCAAGTCATATTCTTAATATAAAAATTTGGGGCATTCATCGGAAAGGAATAATGATCATAACAGATGCATTAGTTAGATGAAATTCTAACTGGACCAAACAACTCCTTTACAAACACAAATTGGACACCAGTCAGCGAGTATAATATATATCAGGGCCCTAGAATGAGCAAGCTTATGAATAAGAAAAGCAAAAGTTTGTCTAATCAAATATAAGTCATTATATGAAAGTTCAAACAGAATTGAAAATCAAAGAACAGTTATTACCCTTCATATGCCATAATATAAGAGTTAAGTAAATTCTTAATTGATGTGCACTCAGAACTACACGTGCACGACTCTCCATTTCTGATACAGAATAATAATTTTAGATTTTCCAAACCAGTTTGTACCATCCATGCATGTATGATTACCATGTCACCATGATTATAGGATTGACATCACAAGTGCACCTTTCTCACTCAGAACTGATTCTTTTTACATGCAAATTTGCATATTCATGTTTATCTGAGGGTGAAATAGATTCAGAGAGAGTCATGAAACCTTGAAAGCTCTATTTGCATTAGAGAATGTGCACCCCATTTTTGAAAAAACACGCACGGCAGCTAGCCTCACAACTGACTCTATTTCAGAAGAAGTCACCATATTAACCACCATCTCTAATACAACAGATGAGAAGTCATCTGCTAGCTCAGAAAAACAACCTGTAGCAAACAATGATGCTCTTACCTGTAAAAACAGAATCTAAGTTTGCGGATAGTTTTGCACAAATAATCATTTAAAATCATCAAAAGCAGCACGAGTAGGATAAGTGGAAATGTGGCAGAATAATTTTTATGTTCTGTTTAATGGTTGGTTGCGTGGCAGAAACCAATTGCAGTCTATACAACTATATGATAACAAATTTAATAATGGTCTATTCTCTGCCATTTCTCATGTAAATATCCAACATTTTAACCTCATCCAGACAGAACTTTCTGTTGCTTTCAGAACCATAATATGGACAATGTCATGAACATGACAATACAGTCTGGAAATAGCCTGCAAGATAATGGGACTACACGCGAATACATATACTTTTACGTTGAAAATACAAAATATTAATGGCAAGCAGTTCTGATTATTTTTGAAAAAAAAAAAAAAAAATTGCCAACTATCAATAAGTTAGAAATTCGAGGGTGCGTTTGGCTCCCTATTTCTACCCATATTCCCAATGTTATTCCCCAAATATTGTTTGACACATTATTCCAAAAATATTACTATATTTTTTTAATTACTTTTAGACCACTTAAGTTTATTAATTTCATTAAATACCCCCAGAAAAAAGTTTAAAAATTAACAAAAACACCCCCATCAACCTATACTTGCCAGATTCCAGCAACCACCGTCGATGGTAGCTGGAATCTGTACAACGGCCTACACCACGACCAGAACTGGCCGGTAGTTCATCGATCTGGCCATCAGCGACGACCATATCTGTGACTTCTTCGGTCTTTTTCGGCCGTCAACGACCACATTTGGCCGTAGATCTGGCCTTTTCCGGCCAGATCCGTGGTAGATTTGACTGGAAAAGGCGATATCGATGCCATATCCGCCAGATCCGACCGGTATGTGTCGTTACGCAATTTTCTAGCCAGATTCTGGCGGTGGTGGCCGGAATTTGGCACTGCGGGTGATAGGAGTGTTTTTTTCATTTTACAATGTTTTTATATATTGGGGTGTTTATTAAATTAGCAAACCTACAGGGTTTTTTAATAAATTTTTAAATTTTACCTCGTAATACTCCCCTATTCAACCACCCAATATCATTTTTAAAATCCTATCCAAAATAATAAAACAAACGGACCCTTAGATTTTATTTTGAAAAAATTAAAATTAAGAAGACAATATCAATGATGATAAAAATTATAAAAAAGAAAAAGAAAAGAAAATAGAAGCATTCTAATGGTAGAAAGAATATTTCACGGACGTCCAAGACATTAGAAGACACCAAGCTGGAAAGTACCAAGTACCGTATCTGAGCACTGTCTTTTGCAAAATCAGCCCAACAACCAAACAAGACTAAAGCCAATGCTCTTGACTCCACATCCCCTGAGTCAAAAACAGCCTTAACTCTTTTCAACAGTTCTAAGTGGTTTTGTACCCTTGACTTGGATAAAACCCCATTCATTTGTTTATTTTTCCTCTTTTTTCTGCAGTGCTTGAGCAGTGATAAAAAAATCCTGACAATGGTGACCCTAGTACGTTTGTTTCCCAACTGAAATGCATCAGCAAGGCGTAAAAAGATAGTATTCGCAAACAGCCTGTCCTCTCCTGGAACCAAACCAAACATGTTGTAAACTACCATTGTACCTTCTGGTTCTCCACTCCACTGCTCCAGTCTTAGTCCAATCTGATATATTGCCTCAATACACCTACCTGAATACTCATCAAGTATCAAAGTCTAAAAGTGTTCAAATCAAAACCACACATGAAATACACATACAACAACAATAGGAATGCTCTCATTCTCACCAGGGTTTTTTGAGCGCAGGGCCTTCTCAAGCTCAATGCTCCACTCCATGGCACAAGCAGTAGAATTTTGCACCATCACTGCTTTTTCAAAACCCATTTTTCGATTCCAAATCCTCAGTAAATAAAACCTACGTTACAGAGATGTACTCAGGATTCCGATAAATGTGGGGTAGAATTGAAACTCTATCACTAAACAATAAAAACTCATCAGAAGTTCCCTGTTCTCAAGTGATAAAACTTATAACGTGTTCAGCCGGTGTAGGACTGCTCTGTCTCCACACTCTTATTCCAACTACATTGTTTTAAAAACTTCTTCATTTCCTTTAAAAAATTAATCATTGGCATAAATTTCCCATTACACCAACAGTGAAGAACACAAGAAAAAGAAAACTATTAAAATTCATAACATTTTCATACTAAGAATATAAAATGCAACTTAATGGTATTGAACCACTCACAATTTGACACCCCACAAGAAATAGCGAATTCCTTGCACTCAACTAAAAACATGTCATAATATACAATCCGGGAAACGCTAACAACATTCTCTTTATCACATTGTTCAGCCCTCTTGACACGTGAACGAAAACACATCAAAGAAAGTACCTCCCCTTTGAAAAACCATTTTCAATCATTCAAATAACAACGTTTCTAGCATACCCAGATGCTAAATTTAGACTTGGCAAAACAGGCACGTAGGCCGGGCATGGGTGCAACGGGTACAGGTCTAAAACGGGTCGGTTCTAAACGGGTCCAATACAGAGGACCCGCGGGTACCCGTTTACTGTACACAATATGGGTTGGGCGCCTGGACAGAATGTTGCTGGTAGTGGGATGTGTGTATGATGGTGAGAGTGGCATAGGCAATTTACCAAGCAGGTGGTAGGCAAGGTGAAATGGCGAATTCCACAACCAGCAAAGTCAATCACAAAATCCAGTTCAACACTCCCAAATCAAACTCCAAAACAACAACTTCTCCAATCAAATTTCACACCAGATGGCAGCAATCTCCCCAGCGATTTATCCAACAAAAACACACTTGTTGCAGATAGTGGAAGCTGCCAGTGGAGTCCCGCAGTGGTTAGCGATGGGCGGTTGTACGCTAGGCGTCGTCTCCGAGTACATATTAAAATCAAAGCAATTAAAAGCAAGTTGAACATTCAAGAACTTGGAGAGAAAATCAGAGAAAAAAAGTATCAGTTCTGATGGGCAAAAGAAGATATTAAAGGGTTGAATATTAAAAAGTTTCTTGGACCATGAAGTCAAAACAAGAGAAAATAAAATAGAATAATATGAATTTCAAGGAAAAAGAGAGGACAAAAATAGTAAAGAACGGCTTTTTTGAAGATTCATGGACGACTATTTCGGTGATCAGAGAAAGAAAGAATCAAGCAGAGGAATGTTGTCTGGCGTTGTTAAAGAAGAAACAAGTCTTCAAATTGAATTTGCAGAGAGAGATTGGTATGATTATGAGCTAGAACGCAAAGTGTTTTGTGGGAATTCTTCAGGTAGAAGATAATGAGAAAACATGAGAGCCAAAAATGAACTTCAAATAAACACAGAATTTGATGCAACAAATTGTAAAAATTAATTCAAAAAAAAAAAAAACAAAAACAACAACGCCTTACCCACTGTTATGTATGTTCGCTGAGCAACTCCTCGTCTCTCTTCTCTCACTTTTCTTCACTCTTTTCCCTCGTTTTTTCTTCGTTGTTTTCTCTGGTTTGTTACCATTAAAAAGCTCCCGCGTGTTCTTTTATTTTGGGCTTTAGGCCCATATAAAAAATAGGATGTTGTTGGGCTTTAGGCCCAACTTCTATATGTTTTCGATATCAATATTTTTTTGTTTAATTGATTTTTTTTTAATTTTTTAATATGAACAACTATTTATAAAATTAACATATCATTTTTTTGTTAGCTTTATTATAAAAAAATTTATTAGTAATTTTTTGTAAAAAAAAAAAAAAAAAAAAAAGCTAACAGAATCTTTAGTTTTGTTATAAAATTTGGTTTTGGTTAAATAAATTATCAAAATCATCCGACAATAAAATTTTTTGCTATTTAAAATCATCCATTTAAAAGGGGGTCTATGGTCCAATTTCCCATATGTTTGGGAGTTGTTAGTATTAGGCGATTTACATAGGGTTTTCTATGATCATCCCTTTATAATTACGTCACAACGAATTATTATTCATATCTAGGTTTAGCAACATATATAAGCAAGGGCGGATCTGGAGGCCCACCCTCAAATTAAAAAAATATATTAATATGTAATTTTTTTTCTTTTTGTGACAATTTCGACCCAAAAAAAAAAAAAAAAAAAGAACATGAATGTTCTATGCAATTAGTTTTTATATTGGCATACCTTAACAAAAATTTCTAGATTTGTTATTGTATACAAGGATCAGGTTCCAACGAAGTAACCAACCGTGGAAAAAATTCCATAAGCCGAAATATTTAAGATTAAAAATTAAATTCTAAAATGGTATTCTTCATCAATTTTAATTTATTTTTTATAATTTATAATTCATCGATTTGATATGTACTTCTAAACATCCATATAGATACATCATATGAAATATTTTATTCAACTATATAATAACATTTAACATGAAAGTTATGAAAACCTTACCTCATCCTCTATCTCATTTGTCAAAACATTTTTTTTTTTCTATAATGATTTTAATATTATAAAAATAATTTTAATCCGAACAAGAATTTTGTAGAAATGAACTAGATAGATGGATAGATTTCTCGGGCGGATCCTAGGCTTAAAATCTTGAATTTGAGATCATATTCCTTACGTGTGCGGTCAAGATTAATCTCTCAAGGCATTTTTTTTTTTAAATTTATTTCATAATATTTTAATATCATCAAGATTTATCCCTAGAAAAATTATATATTACTATTGTTTAAAGTATTATTTGACTAAATGTTTTAGCTGTCTTTGATAGAATATTTAGAATAGTATTTTTTTTTTTTTTTAAAAAAATTGAGTTGAGTTGAGTTGTTATTAAGAGAATATGATTTGAATTTGAAAATGTGTTAAGTAAATTTTTAGAAAATATTTATTGAAAATATTTATTATATTCACAAAAATAATCTTAAATGTTTGATCTATGTATATGTATTGAAGTAGCAAATTAAAGATACGGAAGGAGATTATTGTTGTCTATGCACCTAGAACTAGTAAATAAAAACTTAAATCTCATTCATCCTAACAATCAGCCTTGTTTGACAATCAATATATTATGGAATACATATTTATTAACTTGATTTAAGAGTGACGTCATTCTGATTCCTTTTATATTCCCGTCATAGTATAAACTTTCTCGTTCAAGAATCTGGTGCGTTTGTTTCCTTATTTTTGCCCTATTATATTCCTATTATTTCCAGAATACAGATTTATTTCCCTATTTTAAAAATACTATAGGTCCATTTGATTCATTATTCTGATACTTTTTAAAATAATATTTTGAAAAAGGTAAAATTGGGTGGATATTACGATGTAGGATTTGGAAATAAGCAAAAATATCTCCCTATGTTTGTTTATTTGCTAAACACCCTATAATAAAATATTAAAAATTAATAAAAACACCCCGAACCTACCCATTAAATATAGACAGTCAGCTACCACAGTCGTAGGGTGGCTAGAGTCACTGTATCGGCGTATGACCGACTGGATCTGGCTGGTCATGTGCCGATATGGCCTTTTCCGAAAAAGGCCAGATCTATGGGTAGATTTGGCTATTGACAGTTAGATCTGGCTGCATTTGGTCGTCAACGACGGCTAAAGATACGACCATCGTTGATGATCAACAAACATCAACGACTAGCTATGGACAAAAATCTGGTTATAGATCTAGTCTTTTTCGGCCAAATTCACCGTGGATCTGACCGAAAAAGGCTAGATCGGCATACTATCGGCCAAATCTATCATGGATCTGGTCGAAAAAATGTCAAATTTACGGTCAAAGATCTGGCTATGGTTAGTCGTCAATGACGACCAAGTTATGGTCGTCGTCGATCCAGATCTGGCCATCAATGGCCAGATCTACTTATGGATAACTAGATCCACGGTGGATCTGGCTAGAAAATGCTATATCAAGGCACGATCGATCAGATCCAGTCAATCGTGTACTGATACGATGACTTCAACCACCCTCCACTGGTGGTGGATGACTATTGGTATTTAATGGGCGAGTGGGGGTAGGAGTGTTTTTTAATTTTCAATGTTTTATTATTAGGGTGTTTAGTAAATTAACAAACCTAGAGCGTGTTTTTGTTAATTTTCAAATGATATCTTGTAATAACCACCCAACTCTTACTTTTTCAAAAAATACTATCCAAAATACTAAAACAAACGCACCTTATTTTTAACCCCCTATATTTGTTAATTTAGCTAAACACCCTCTACAATAAATTTTTTATAATTACCAAAAACACCCCTACCCACACATTAAATGCTGGCAGCTGACCACCACTGCTCGGACAATGGTCGGAAATCGCTGAAATGGCTCACGACCAGCTGGATCTGGTTGGTAGTGCATCGATCTAACATTTTTCGACCAGATCTATAGTCAAAGATCTAGCTGTTGACAATAGTCAAGATATGGCCATCATTGACGACCAAATGTAGTTGTCAATGGTGAGATCTTTGGCCATAGACTTGGCTAAAAAGGTTAGATCAATGCACGATTAGTTACATCCAACCGATTGTGCACCATTCCAACAGATTCAAGCCACCTTTCGGCGATGGTGGCTGACTATTGACAATATGTGAGTAGGTAGGGGTGTTTTTGTCAATTTATAAACTTTTATTGTTGGGGGTGTTTAGTTTTAGGGGGTTAAAAAATCTAAATATTTTGAGTTGAATAGAATATATTGGATTTTAAAAATATCCAAATATGTATTTTGATAGGATTGGATAGGATAGTAGGATATAATAGAGTTTGTATAAGGAAACAAACACAGTCTTACATTTGTTTAAATATTCTATTCGTATTTCAAATCAAAATGCACATTTATTTCCCTATTCTCAAAATACTACTCCCAATTATTCAACTATTTTTAATTTTTATATCTTACTTAGTAATAACCACCCAACTCTACTTAACAATAATATTTCAAAAATACTACTCCAAATAACTAAATCATCTTCCTTTTCTAATTACGTTATCAAAGTGAGAATTATGTTACATGATACAATTTCATCACCTCAATTTCTTTTCATGATGAGACATTTTAATAAAATAATAGCACATGTTATTAATTTTCCGTTAGAGCTCAAGCTCCATTCAACGAAGAGCCCAACCCAAAAACTGACCTAATAGGAGAAAGAGTCTCGATGTGTGATCTTAACTTTACACCCTTATTCAGGAGCCTACGTTTCACTCTATCGACATTGACTCAATAGTAGCCATTTCCCCCTTTAGATGATTTTACTCACTTATCAATTCTTTGATGCAACACCTTTCTCAAGGGAAGCACACTGCACTTTAATCCAACCTATAAGTAACATTTTTCATAATCCAACTCTTAACGAAAACATCAATGTTAAAATTTAAGTTCAAAAGAAAACCTAACCCAAAAGACGGCCTAATAAGTGAGAAAGTCTTGACACAGGATCCTAACATTTTCAAAATCATATGTGGTGATGACTGTTACGTATATATAATATATAAGTATCTATTAATCATCATGACAGTTTTATTATTATATGGAATAAGTAAATACGATAAAATGACAGAACTGTCTCGTACAGGCAGTCAAATCAAGGATGGAGTCTGCATTGAATCAAACTGACCAGGCAAGCTTATTTTAAGATATGGTTTTGTGTACTTGTGAGATAAAATTGATTGGAAAAACCTTGTCTTAGATTATTTAGCAAAACAGTAAACAAAAATATAATTAAATGATGTAAAATGTGGTGGTGGATGAGTAAGATGGGCAATAACTAAACCAATTTGTCATGTGGAAAGATTCATGGGAACCCACCAAAACACAATCCACAGATGCGCATTCTTCTTGTCCTGCTAATCCAAGATTCTATTAATAAAATTTAATTATAATCAAATTAATTTTATATTATATAGTCCATTTGTTTGCATGACATTATTTATACTCTCTACTGTGACCCATTTGCAAGACTTGTATTATATCACATTATTTATACTCCAAAGTTAATGGAAATATGTTGTATAACGTTTGTTTTAATGATATATATAAAGAGTAAAAATCTCTAGTACGCAATTCATTCATTGTAAACAAGAGAGGTGAGAAAGTATTGCAATAATATTAACTCAGTTAGACGTAGTTCATATTGGGTGAACTAGGGTAAAATCGCGTGTGTTATTTCTTTTTGTTTATTGTCTGTGATTTGTTTTATTGTTATATTGGTTTCGTTGTTGTCTCTATTTCGTTCAATTCTAAGGCACAATTATGTTCACAGTCATACCTCACCAATTTCAAGTGGATCTATATGTTTAAACTAGACTAAAGTGCTCCAAAGGGCAAGTTGAACTATCAATTTGAATAGAACTTAGCAAATTTAGATTGAAACTATTACTAGGCACACAAGGATGG